TTTTTTTTTGGGGTGGGGCTTTATTAAACATTTAGTTTATCTTCTCCCTTCATTGCACTAGAAATATAAATCTACTTTGCAATTTTCCAGTTACTATAAACTTATTTACTGGGATTTGTTATACTATGTGGTAAAGGTGTTACCTTTCATAACAAGTTAACGGTAAAATAACCATTATTTTATAAAAAGCTGTAGAGAGTTCTTAGATAGGTTTTATCCTACTATTGTTCTTGTAATCAAGATAAGAATTTCTCTAGAGATACAGATTCTACAACGATAGGCATAGAACTGTGTAAGATACCACAAATTTCTGAACATTGACCATAGAATGTTCCTAATCTGTTAATTAAAACAGAGAATTGATTTAATCTACCTGGGTCGTTCTACAACTTCGACCTAAAATCGTCACCATCACTCTACGAGGTAATAAACTTAAATATGTAACGATTTTTGTAAGGTTTTTCGCTAGATATATAACTTCTTATTGTAGATCTGCTAACACCAAATTTAGATGCTGCTTTTGCTACTGAATCTATTGTTGTAATAGTGTTTGTATCTATATCTAATACCTCTACTACACTACCATAAGATATATGTAATTTATTTAAACTATCCTTTCTTTGTTTATTTATAAATTCACGTACCTGGACTTCCGTTAAATCTGCAGGTACTGCCTCTGGAATAAGGTAATTAGATATACGGAAATAGCCTAAATAAGGTTCATTATTAGCTACGTGTTTTTTATAAGAAGAGTGGTGTATACCCAGGTCAGCACAAAAAGCATTTAATGAATTACTAGAATAATATAAAGTTTTGCAATCCTTATCGTATAAATAAATTTTAAATCCTTGATTAACTCTGAAATTTACTATCTTGTGAGTATTAAGATTAAATCTTTTATCTAATAAGAAATATTGTTCTAAGAAACAATGAGCATAATTAGAAAAAGAAGAAGGTATAACTGTTACTTCTAAAGTAAACGCTTTTAAGTTTTCCTTTTCTAACATAGGTAACAACATTCCTGTATCTTTGTTAGAAAATAGCGCATTCTTTTCAAAGTATTGCTTGAATCTTCTTGCTAAATCGTTACTTGATCCTACATAATTTTTATCTGAATACTTGTGAGAAAAAACATATATTCCTGCTTTACTACGCTTAGAACCTGGTTTTCCAATTAATCCCAATAAAGCAGGGTATGTTTGATCTGTAAGAGGTAAGTCAAAATTAACCTTAGGAAGAGATAAAAGCTCATCTAACTCTTGTTGAGTTATAGAGACCTTTTGATTAAGCAACACACTATTAATAACTTGGCTAGTTATAGGATCACCCTTGTTTATATGTTCTAAAGCTATAGTATTAGGACGATAATCTTTATTAGATGGAGTTAATCCTGATTCAAATCTAAATAAACAATTTAATTTACCCGAACATTTCTTGTTGAATAAATTAACATTTGGACGCGTATTAAAACCTATTAAACTAGTTCTATTTGTAAATTCTAAGTTTTTGTAGTCGTATTTTATTTTTAGAGGATAGAGTTTTCATGAAAACACTTGTTGGAACAGTTTAAATAATAATAAAAAAAAGGTTCATATTTTAATACTCTTCTTTATTTTTTTTAATCCGTATTACAACTTAACCTAGTAAGGTCAGGCCGTTGTAGTAACTTTAATCTAGGGTTATTTATAAATAGTAAATGCTATTTAGTTTATTTTATCCTAGAACCGGTTTCCCGGCGACTAGAGTACACCTTACAATCAAAAAAAAA